TGTAACAGTACATCGACAGAGAGCTGCCAGAAATTCAAGCTGGCTTCAGAAGAGTATCTGGAACTAGGGATATCATTATTAGATGGGTCCCAACAGAAAGCAGAGAATACCAGAAAGATGTTTACCTGTGCTTTATTGACTATGCAAAGGCTTCCAGCTGTGTGGATCACGAAGAACTATGGGTAGCATTGTGAAGACTGGGTATGCCAGAACACTTCATTGTGCTCATAAGGAACTTGTACACAGACCAAGAAGCAGTTGTTAGAACAGAGCAAGGGAATACTGAATGGTTTAAAATCAGGAAAGGTGTGTGCCAGGGTTGTATCCTTTCACCATACTTATTCAATCTGTATGTTGAGCAAATAATCCTAGAAGCTGGAGTGTATGAAGAAAAATGTGGCATCAGGATTGGAGAAAAACACATTAACAACCTGCAATATACACATGATACAATCTTGCTTGCTGAAAGCAAAGAGGACTTAAAATGCATAGTGATGAAGATCAACAACTAAACCATTCAGCATGGATTGCACCTCAGCATAAAGAATACAAAAATTCACACAATTGGATCAATAAATACCATCATGATAAATGGAGAAAAGATTAACATTGTCAAAGACTTCATTTTGCTTTGATCTACAATCAACACTCATGGATGCAGCAGTCAGGAAAGCAAATGATGTATTGCATTAGGCAAATGTGCTGTTTACAGTGTTCCAGAGCAAAGATAGCAGTTTGAGGACTAAAATGCACTTGACCCAAGTCGTGGCATTTCAATAGCCTAATATGCATATGTGGCGCTGTGGGTTAATGCACTAGACTACAAGTCAGTTTGAACCACAAGGTCGGAGGTTCAAGCTCAGTAGTCGCTCCTTGGAAACCCTACACAGGGTTGCTATGGGTTAGAATGGACTCAACGGCACTTAACAACAACAACAACAATATGCATGTGAAAGTTGACAATGAATAAGGAAGACCGTAGAATTGGTGCATTTGAGTTATGGTGTTGGTGAAGAATACTGAAAGTACTATGGACTGCTAGAAGAACAAACAAAACTGTGTTGGAAGAAGCAGAGCCAGAATACTCCTAAGAAACCAGGATGGTGAGACTTTGTCTTTCATACTTTGGACATATTACCAGGAAGGGCCGTCCCTGGAGAAGGACATCATGATTGGTAAGATGGAGGGTCAACGAAAAAGAGGAAGACCTTCATCAGGATGGACTGGCACAGTGGCAGCAACAGTGGCTCCAACATAAAAACAGTTATGAGGACAATAGAGGACATTGTTGTTGTTGTTAAGTGCCGTTGAGTCGATTCCGACCCATAGCGACCCTGTATAGCATTTCCAAAGAGCAGTTGGTGAGTTTGAACAGCTGACCTTGCAGTTCAAACGGCTTTGCAGTCTGGCGCATTAAACCACAGCGCCACACCAAGACTCTAAGTAGGCTAGGTAGAGGTACTGCCTAATCCTGCACCATCCCCACAACTGCTGTTGTATTTGAGCCTATTACTACTGTTATGCATGAGGCCATTATGAATTCTGTTGTACATAAAGTCACTATGAATCAGAACAGATTTGATGGCACCTAACAACAACTAAAAAATGTACTGGCATCTTTACTAAGCAAGATAACTTTTGAAAGTTGAAATCAAAACAACAAAGTTTTAAAAATCCAGAAAACAGTAAATACTGGTGTGGGTGTGGAGCCACTAGAACCCTATACAGGGTCGCTATGGGTCAGAACCAACTTGAAGGCACTTAACAACAACAACATGGTCAACTGGCACAACATACATAGCTCACAAAGACCATGTTCTACATCCTGTTTGGGTGAGTATCGTTTGGGATTATAAAATTTCATGAGTGGCAATCTAAGGTGCAGGTATTGATCTCCCCAGGTGCAGAAGAAAGAAGACTGATGCGAATTGCAGAAGTTTGGAATCAATTAGTCCAATGGACTAATGGATCATGTGAGCATCAGTCTCCATGACTCTGAAACTAAAAGAACTAGACAGTGCCCGGCTACCACTACCAACTGCCCTGAAAAGCATCACATTAGAGGGGCCTGGATAGAGGGGGGAAAATGTGGAACAAAATCCAAAATTATTTAGTTAAAAAAAAAAAAAAAAAGACTGTGCCTACTGGTCAGAAAGAAACTAGAGGAACTTGATACCATGACCCTCAACCATCCTTCAGGTCTAGAAAGGAGCTCACACTCATAGACCAATTTTCAGCCAAGCAGTTCTAGGGAGGAAGAACAACACTAGCAAGATATACTAACCATGAAAAGATCAATCATACAAAATCAAAAGGGCAACATTTTCCAAAGGACAAAGTTGACAAGGGATAGGAAGGTAGGTGGAGTGCAAATAGGAACCACAGAGAGGAGATAGGATAGCTTTTGTTGCATGGAGGGGATTGTAATCATTGAGATGAAGAAAAGTATATGATTTGTTGAATAAAAAGGTGATAACCTGGTCTGTAACGCTTCACTCAATTCACAATAAAAAGTTAAAATAAGTAAATGAGGGCTGTGACATGAATAGGTATATGCACACCCATCCATGTTCACTGCAGCGCTATTCACAAACAAAAAGATGGAAACATCTTAAATGCTATCAAGAGAAGAATGGATAAATAAACTTGGATACGTGCACACAATGGAAAACTATTCAGCTTTGAAGAATAATGATGAATCTGTGAAACACCTTATAAGATGGATGAACCTAGAGGATATTATGCTGAGTGAAATTGTTGTTGTTGTTAGGTGCCATCGAGATGGTACGGACTCATAGTGACCCTATGCACAGCATAATGAAACATTGCCCGATCCTGGGCCAACCTCACCATTGTTGCCACGCCTGAGTCCATCGATGCTGCCATTTGGCCAATCCATCGCATTGGGGGTCTTCCTTTTTTTCTCTGACCCTCCACCTTACCAAACATGATATCCTTCTCCAGTGACTGGTCCCTCCTGACTATATGTCCGAAGTATGAGAGACAAAGTTTGGCCATCCTGGCATCCAAGGAGCACTATGGCTGCACTTCTTCCAACACGGATCTGTTGGTTCTTTTGGCAGCCCATGGCACCAATATTCTCTTCCAACACTGTAGCTCAAATGTGTCAATTCTTCTCCGGTCTTCCTCATTTACTGTCCAGCTTTCACATGATTATGAGGTTATTGAAAATACCATGGCTTGGGTTAGGCGCACCTTAGTCCTCAAGCTGACATCTTTGCTCTTCAACACTTTAAAAAGGTCTTGTGCAGCAGATTTGCCCAATGCAATATGTCGTCTGATCTCTTGACTGCTGCTTCCATAAGTGTTGATAGTTGATCCAAGAAAAATGAAGTCCTTGACAACTTCAATCGTTTCTTCATTGATAAGAATGTTGTTTATTGGTCCAGTGGTGAGGATTTTTGTTTTCTTTACATTGAGATGCAATCCATACCAAAGGCTGTGCTCTTTGATCTTCATAAGTAAATGTTTCAAGTCCTCTTCACTTTCAGCAAGCAAGGTTGTATCATCTGCATATCACAGGTTGTTAATGAGTCTTCCTCCAATCCTGATGCCACGTTTTTCTTTATAGAACCCAACTTCTGGGATGATTTGCTCAGCATACAGGTTGAGTAAGTACTGTGAAAGAATACAAACCTGTCGGACACAACAAACTGACAGATGAGTGGTAGTGAGTGAAATTAGTCAATTACAAAAGGGCAAATGTTGTACGAGATCATTCTGAAAAAAAAATCAAGAACAAGTTTTCATGGTAATCAGTCTGGTGCTCAGTGAATGTTTCCTGAATGCCATCAACACAGAACTAAAGAAATAGAAGAATCCATGTATAAAACAACGCACGAACGTTGTTGTTGTTGTTATGTGCCATCGAGTCAGTTCCGACCCATAGCGACCCTGTATAGGGTTTCCGAGGGTGTAAATCTTTACGGGAGTAGAAAGCCTCATCTTTCTCCCGCGCTACCAGAGCTCCTTGCACGAACGTATAAAGGGAGAAATCCCTGAAGAAATAAAGAATGGGAGGACAGGGTATTAGCTGAAGGCCGCAGAGGGGCGGTGCAGAGGTTGGGCCCGGCAAATGCTCTCCAAGGCCGGGTTCTCTTCGTAAATCGCTTCTTCTCCCTGGACCTGCGTCCCCAGCAGACACCTCAGAGCTCTGTAGGGTTAGGTCACAGCGTTGGACGTGAGTGCCAGAGCAGGTTCAGTGGTCCGGTCTTTGGCCTTCTGTAGCCCCCGGGCCGCAACCATGCAGAGTGGGGTGGTGGCGCAGGACCTGCCGGCATGGGACCGCGCCTCCAGCCTGCCCTGGGGACCCGGGCACAGGTTAGTACCCCAGCTATGCAGTGCCGGCTAGACTCCACGCACACCTGGGCCTGCTGGAGGGGTTCCGCCCACTTGGGTGCGCTGAGAACTCTACCCCATCCCCTCCCCCTTCCCTGGTGGCCCCACGGCCGCCTAGTCTCAGGCCTCCAGTCTTTCTCAGGTCTTCTCACTCCAAACCTGGGCTCTATACCCTCCTCCAGTACACCACTCTCCCCCTACTCCTCCTGCCCTGCTGCTTCCTCCCACCTCCAATGGTTCGGCTGGCTAACACCTGAAAAAGTCCCCCAGGGCACCAAGATGAAAAATTTACGGATGCGGTTTCCCAACCAGCCCAACCCAGGCGGGAGGGACCGGACGGAGGTGGTGAGTCGGAGGCGGGGCAGGAAAGCCTGGCCACGCGCCGTACCCGCTGGGAGTGCACAGAGCGACCTTTCAGTCTGGCTGCGTAGTTGTCCTAGCTGTACCCGCTCACCAGCCTTGCTTACTCTCGTTCCCGGGCGGCTGAGGTAAGGTTAAGAGAGGCAGGGCTACCAGGGGTCTCTCCTAGAAGAGCTTCAACTTCTGGAGAGACCTTCCCGGCAAAGCTGAAATGCTGATGCAGTGAGAGGTTTTCCTGCTCCGAATCCCAGAAAGCGGTGGAAAGTTTTGAAGGCGAAGGCATGACCCGGATGCCTTATGGTTTTTCCCAGGCAAGGAACCCTGAGAGAGGATCAGGTGTTTTCAGGTTAACCGTCAGGTGAGACTCTTGGGCTGCGTCTTTCAGGATATCGGACTCTGGAGAGATCCTCATAAGCGTGATGGCTTTACTGTTAAGAGAGTTTTTCCTCCTGCCTTCTGAAAGATTATTTTAACTGCTTGCATTACACTGAGTTAGCTAAATAAGGCTGGGCTTTGCTTTCCGGAACAAACAGGCCTTTACTCAAAGTGAGAGTTGTAATGTGGTTAACCCCAATTCCTTTGCTTTATGAAAAGGCGTTCAGTTTAGCAAGCTGACTGGTAAGGTGCCCCTCCTTGCTAGGAGCTCTCATCAGTGCCCAGCACAGTGGAGCAAAAGTGGTGAGGACGAACAGGTATTGGTTCCTCCCTCCTCTGCTTCCAAAACAAATATAGTGGTGGTCTGTTAAACTTTCTTAAAATAGTATTGAGACTTTTCTGTCTTTCCTGCATGAGGCTCTGGATTTTGTAAATGGACTCAATGCTAGCAAGGAAAGCGAGATTCAAGAGAATTTACTTGATTTCTGGAGGCTGTTCGCAAAAGTATTTAACTAATTCCAAGCAACGTGTGGCATCTATTTTTTAGACATTTGAAAGGCCAATTTTGAATTAGAAAACATAACTCTGGTACATCTTTTTTGTTAACTGGCATTTGCTGAATGTCACACCAAGATGACTGTACTGTGTAATTTATTAACCATCTCTCATAATGAGGGAATGTCTACTTGTAATGGGCCAGATGGGTAGAAGTCATACACTCCTTCAGTCTACCTTAGCCCTAAATGCACTGTTCTAAATGGTAGAGAACAAACTAGGTCTGAGTTTATTTAATGGGTTTCTGCTTGGGTTGATAAGTAGGTTTGTGCTCACTGGTGGGATGGGGTATCATTGCTGTATTTTTTATCTTGACCCCAGTATTTTTCCTAACACGTTTTCTTCATAGCTTACATGGTAATGTCATTTCCACAAAAGTCTTTATTAACTTCTATTGTAAGAGTAAAGCCATAGGCTCTTGAATATGGACACAAATTGCTTTTGAAGGAATTCAGATTTAAAATATGTATTTGAAGTATATATGTGTCATTCTAAACCAAGAATGGAGTCCTGGTGTGGCACTGTAGGCTAGGCACTCAACTGCTCACCACACGAGCTTGATGGTTCAAACCCACCAGTTGTTCCTCAGAAACCCTATACAGAGTTCACTATGAGTCAGAATTAAGTCAATAACACCTAACAACAACAGCAAATCAAGAATGGAGTAGGGGACCAGTAAGGGGGGGCGAGAATATGTGTGTGTTATGTTAGAATACAAATTTGGATACCTTGTGTAAAAGTTACCAGCCACATAACTCTTCCCAAAGGTAGGATGTAGACTTCACACTTTCAGGAACTCTTCAACCTGCCTTAGTTACCTAGTGCTACTGTCACAAAAATACCACAAATGGGTGGCTTTAAAGAACATTAAATGCATTTTCTCACAGTTATAGAGACTGAAAGTTCAAATCAGGGTCTCAGCTGTGTTGACATTTTTCCTTATCAACAGTCTGGGGTATTCCTTAGATCCTTGGTGTTCCTTGGCTTGTAAAGGCTTTTTCACATGGCATCTACCTTCCCTTGTGTGTGTGTATGTTTTATAAGTTACAAGTGATTCGGTTTAGGAACAACCCCACACCAATATGACCATTAGAATAACAAAATACAAACCTATTTTTCAAACAGAATCACATCCACTGATACAAGGGCCAGAAGTTCAACACGTATTTTGTGGGGGACACAATTCAGATCATAGCATTACCTCTGTGATGTGTTCTAGCCAACAGCACGCATTTGGGGAAATCTGGTAGCTTCTTTCTTACTGCGTTAGACTCCTTTTGAAATTTTAGCTCATCTTCTTTGTCTTACCTTAAGAGGAGTCAAGAACTGTTAATGGTTGGTTATGAACGTTCCCTTACATTGATTGAATTATGCCTCCCCAAAACATGTTAAAATATGTAGTAGCCCAGGAAAACTCTTTGGGCTATAAAAGTTAGAAGTAGAATCTTCTCTGAGGTAGGGTTGTTCTTTTTAGCGGAGGCAAAGAGGAGAAGTTCCACGTGTCAGTTCTAAACCATTAAATCATCCTTCTAGTGAACTTCCACATCACATGTTAAAGACTTTATGAAGAAAAGTAATTTTATTATCAAATTTCATTTTAGCTATCAAATTGCTTATTCCCCACCCGCTACCCCTGAGTAAAGTGTTTAAGCCATGTTTTTAATTTGTTGGTTGTCTACTTTTGGTTTGTTTGCTCTTTTTCTTCCCACTTTCTCAACCTATGCCTAGTTGAGCTTTCTACTCTCTTTTCCCAGACCTGAGGAAACTACTTTGAGGGCATGTTGCTTGAATTCTTTCACCCTAAGTTGGGAGTTTCCTTTCTTCTTTGAAGGTTGTATTTTGTTATCTCTCTCCTTGAGTATTTCTTTGGTTTCAGCTTAAAACATTTGTCAGACAATAGTTGGTGACTAGTGGTGCAAAAGAGTCCTGGTGACACAGTGTCTTAAGCATTCAACTACTAACCACAGAGTTAGCAGTTTGAACCCACCAACAGCTCCAAAGGAGAAAGATTCAGTAGTCTGGTTCCTTGGAAGTCCTATGGGGCAGTTCTACTCTGTCCTGTGGCATTGTTATGAGTCAGAACTGATGAGATGAACCTGGTTTAGTGGTGCATATGGTAAATGTGCTCACTGCTAACTGGTGGTTTGAGTCCAGCTAGAGATGGCTTATAAGAAAGGCTGGATGATCTGCTTCTGAAAATGAGTCATTGAAAATCCAAGAGCCCAGTCTACTCTCACACGCTTGGGGTTGCTGTGAGTACAAATTAATTTAACTGTAAGTGGTTCAACTGGAGTTCATTGGTTTTCTAGTGATGCTAAAGGTACTGGAAATTTGTCCTTATTATTTAAGTAGACAACAATGTAAATGGTGGGCTTTTTAGTGAAGCTCTCTAGGAGAATGACCTGATGATGATCTGCTTCTGTAAAGATTAAAGCCAAGAAAACCCTATGGGTTTTTTGGGTTTTCTTGACCTGCTAGGTCACATGGGATCAATGAGTCAGATCTGAGTGGATGGCACCCAACAATACCAAAATACCAAAGAGAAAGACCTGTTTGAGACAGGGTGAATCAAGGGATTGGCCAATGTATCACTCAAGTGGATTTGCCCAGAATTAAGGTTAACTCATGGCTTTGAAGAAAAAAGATTAATTAATCATAATGTTCTAACTTCTTTTCATTTTACTTTTGCTTAGAGTCATCAGTTCTCTTTATTAAAATACCTATTAAATTCCTTACTAAAATAGGTAGCACTTGTTGAAAATGTTAGAGAAGTAAACAAAAATAGGAAAATGCCATCATTTCAGGCAGCGTCCTCAGTTTTAACTGCCTTTGGAATCCTGTATTCCTGGGAAATAGAGTTTCTTTTCTCTTATCTCGGCACCAGAAAGCAGATCTCCAGTGTTTTCAAGGAGTGTATGGTTTGTTCAGGATAAATGCTTAAAAAAAATATTCTTAGTTTAGCTTTTCTGCTTGTCTGAGGCAGCAGCTGGATGATAGATGATTTTAGGAACTTGGTGGGATGGTTGTCTTTGGGGAAATTCCTGAAAGTTTTAGTGTGCTCATCTTTTTGGGTGTCTCTATGGGGAAACAAAACTCGCTGATGGCCTTCTAATGTGAAACATTTAAGAATCAGAGCAATCATGTTATTTATTTTCTGAGAACTGCACTGAGAAGATGGTAAGCAAGATTTCTTTCTTTGCCTTTTTTTATTTTTTAAACCAGTTGTCATCAACTTCCTTTAATTAGTCCCCAGCAACTTCAGAGCCTTAGCTAACTGAGCTTCTTTGTGAAACAAAAGTAAATCATGAGGAAATTAGTTCATAATAAGAATGGGTGTGAAAAAAATGATGTGGGAGTTAGGATCTCTCCAAAGTCTTCTGTTTTGCAGAATGTCTTGTGACATTCACTCCGGAACCACTGTGGACACTGTAGAAATGCTGAATTTTATTCTCTGTAATTAACCCACTCCTTCCTGCACCCCAATACAAAGAAAGGGAGAGAAATTTTGGATTACTTAATACATGAACCAGATACTTTCCTCCTTTCCTTTGTGTTGGGGAGAAGGCAGATGATGGATTTGGGTAATTACAGAGACTAAAATTCAGCGTTTGGAAATATCTGATTACATAATACATAGAGTCCTGGTGTGACGCTACAGGATAATGCTCTGGACCATGAGGGCAGTTTGAACCACAAGGCCGGGAATTCAAACCAACCACCCACTACTCGGAAACCCTATACAGAGTCGCTATGAGTCAGAACCAACTCGGCACTTAACAACAACAACAATACATATTAGGGGACTCCTGGTGTGGCATTGAAGGATCAGCACTGGACTGTGATCCAAAAGATCGGCAGTTCAAACCTACCAGCTGCTCCTGACTATGAGTCAGAACTGACTCGATGGCACTTAACAACAACAACAACAACAACAAATACATATTAGACTCTAATATCTTATTTTAATTCACAATAGTAACTCAAGAGTTCACACATGTCTAACAAAACTCAAGAAAATATGGAAAACTCAATGAATAAAATTAAGATTACCTATAATACCCAGGAAAGATCTCTGGTAGCATAGTGGTTATGAGTCAAGCTGCTAACCTCAAGATCAGCTGTTCCGAGGGAGAAAGATGAGGCTTTCTACTTCTGTAAAGATTTCCAGCCTCAAAAACCCTACAAAGGATTGCTATGAGTCAGAACAGACTCCATGGCACCTCACCCTCGCCATAATACCTGGAAAGGGGCCCTGGTGGTGCTACTGGAAAGGTTAGATTTCAAACCCACCAGCTACTCTATGGGAGAAAGATGTGGCAGGCAGCCTCCATAAGGATTTATAGCTTTAGAAATCCTATAGGGCTGTTCTACTCCGTCTTGAAGGGTCATTGTGAAACAGAATAGACTTAATGGCAATAGTTTTGGTTA